GCAGCAGCACACGGGGTGAGGACACGAACCACATCCACGTACGGCTTATTGCGTTTCAGGAGGTTGCTGCTATCTGATACATGGCAATGAAAAATATTTTCAGGCCTAAACTAGCCGATATGAATCTAGAAGAAGAAGATCCGGAAGATCTACAATGCCGTGTTTTAATCAACAGTGCATCTTCATTTATCCCTCTCCAATTAACACAGTAGTAAGAAATAAAAAAAAAAATGAGGAGGGAAACGAATTCTGCTTTGACTTGCAACATATATTCCAAAAACCATGCCCCAAGACATCATACAAAAATTTGCAGAAACAATTACAAAGCAAAACGTTTTGGAGACCCATTGCATTTTAAGCCGGTTACTTAGTTTAAGTCAACTTTAGCATACTCAGCTTTTAGCAGCAAATAAAGCCAAGGTACTGGTTCTATTAATTATTCTTTGAAGCTGCTTTAAAATAGCGACATTGGTCTTGCCGGTTGGATTTTATTTCATTTAGTTCTAGTACCCCATTTCAGAGGCAGCCGAGAGCAGCAGCAGGGCGGCTAGGTGGCATACGAGCCCAACGAACCCGACCAGGAGACGGGAGCAAGCTGCAGGAGAGGTCCTGGTGCTGCTGAGCAGCAGGATAACCGTGTTTGTACCAAGCAGCCAGCAGCCGGAGTCCCTCTTGCTCGGGCAGGATAATCAGTAGCTTTGGGGGGCAAGGTGGTTGACTAATTTAACCCCCTCCCAACCACAGCTCTCCTTCCACTTCTCAGGCCTGCTGCTGGAAAAGTTCCAGGACTACAAACAGACACTGCACCTGAGCCAAAACCTCCTAGTTTGGCCTTATTTCATATAGGTCTGCTCACACTGGTCCTGCTGTCTTATGCAAACAGCTGTGGGCCAGACCAGTTCTTGAGCTTCGTTTCCTTCCAAATAGTGCCAGCAAGACATGCTTCTGTCAATGCATCTGAGGCCTCTAGGCTGGCTTACAGAGTACCCCTTTTCCTTGTGCGGTGCGACTACTTCACATTTATTTCAGAAAACGCTCACTCCGAGAAGGGGCTCTCCTCGTTTGTCCCATGTATTTCACAGAAGCAGCACACAGGTCAAGGCTGCAGGCGAGTGGAGAACACACGGATAAGTTGATCCAGCAGCAAAAAGAAGCAAAATTGGAGAAGCCAAGAGACATCAGAAAGCCGAGCAGTTTGAAACGCATCCATGGGACCTTCAAAGCAAACACCAAACCCAACCCCAGCAGGTTGTCCTGGAGACTGGCTTAAGAAAAGGCCGAGCAGGATTTTTAAGGCACTTTGCAGTAATTTTGCTCAGTTTACCACAGTGCAATGCTTCCCCTTGCAAACGAGCCCCTAAACAGCTCTGCCTGTAGGATCTCTGCAATGCCACAGATACACGTAAAGAAACGCATCTCCTCACACTAGCATCAGTGGCCGGCTCATTGGAGGGCAACTACAGACTTGGCAGAAGTCAAAACCCTGAAAGACCTTCTCCTGAAGGTCCGGGGAGCAGGAGACTAACTGCATCTTTCTGTGGAAGGGACAGACTGAAATCACATAGCTTTTAAAAAGGTTGAGGTAAACTGAAACGCAGGCCATCTCTGCGTTTAAAAGGAGTGCCTTATTCTGCTTTAGCTCTAATCTGTTCCTAATCGACTTAAGACAAATTTATCTTAAGCCAGATTTACATCTGTTAAGAAGGATCCACTCCAGAATTGCTATGTTGATTTTACAAAAGCATCCACTACTTTGAATGGGTGGAACAGTTTCCAGAAAACATCTCAAGACCAAGCCAATTCATACAGGTATTCTTTAACCCTCCTCCAAGGAGCAGGAATCTTTAAGATACACCTCAACTCACAGCAGGGAGGGAAAGATCAAGGATTACAAAACCAGAACTTCCTCACAGGCCATGCCCCTCGGCATTGCCTTATGAACAGGGACATGAACATGCATCCCATGCACGGAATGACTCTGAGCAAGAGCTGCCTCAGGAGTGGAGCACAGCATCAGCGCGTAAAACAGCATCCAGAGATTAACTGCTGTCCTGGTTTCTCATAATTAAGCAAGATTAACAGTCATAGTCCCAGCAGCCACTAGCATTAGTAGCTCAGATTTGTTTCTGATACGACTACAGATCAAGTGGCTGAGAGAGGTTTGGGCAACAGCAACTGCCTTTAACAGCACTCTTCAAGTACAAATTCTAAGAATTTATGTGCTTCAAATCCATTTGTTATATACAGTGCACCACTGCTTTTCATGGCATTTAAACTTGCAGTAAGAGATGAGCTCTCAAAGGACTCGGTGCTTAAGGCTGTTCCACACCAGAGTCCTGAGCACCCACCCAGTTCCGTACTGGGCTTTGGCACTGGTTTACTAAATGCAACTGGGGTCAAGGGTGAGGGAAAGGGGAAGAAAGGGATGAGGGCAGGAGGGTCAGACAATCAAGGACTACAAATCTGTTAGAATATGGATCATGGGAGTCTCAAGGTAGAAGCAGGCGTGAATTTAAACTTTTGTCAAGATGGCAAAAATAACTACTGCAGTTCTTTGTACTCACGGCAATAGGTGTTGCTCCCTAAGCATTTCTACACTTCCAAAACTGCAGGACACTCACACTGGAAGGGGAGAAAATGAAGCAGAAGCATTCTGTGCTCTGGGCACATGGTAGTTTGCATCCTCACCTCACCAGCATACATTCAGTTCAACACCTGTCACAGCCGTTACGCCAAAGAAATTTAAGTTTCAGTCAGAAATTGCAAATATTAACCAAACTAACTTCACTGACTCAGAGTAATGACTGCCACACAGACTTCCACAATAGCAGAAGTTACTTTTCTTCGCATCCAAATTTATATTCACATCTCAATTTTTTAACATAAAGCTGAAAAATCAGTGCCTGGAAATTATAACAAGTAGAGATAAAATGACTTCCAGGAACAACTTTGAGCCAACAGGTTTCAGCACAGAATCACACCTCTTTAACACCCAGATCTGGGAGAACTGGGCAACAATCAACAAAGAACTCATCAGCTCACAACAGCCTTCCCTAACCAAGCCTGCAACCTCCTGGCTGCTCCCCCCAGGGCTCTGTGTTCTCATATGTGGCCGCCTTTGCCAAAACCTTTGATGGCAGTGTCAGAGAAAAAGGAAAAACCTACTCTTCTCACCAAAGACAGTATGAAATCACACACCTGTCTGCTACAATAACAGCATTAAAAGAGTATTTCTCCCTTTTCCTCCCATTTCAACTAAATGCATTTTGAGACTCCCACTGAAGTGGAAGTATTCTTTACTGTCAAAGCTACCTGGAGGCCTGATATTGACTATGACGACTGGATTAGACAATAGTTTCATGTAATGGCATAAAGTTCTCTAACAGTCTGAATCATTTAAACATGTGAAATATTTTGTAACCACGGTACCAACTGCAATTTTCATCTGTAGAACCCAGCTCAGTCACATCTGAATTCAGCCATTTCCACAGAAAGAGATGCCAAACCCCAACTCTTTAAGAAGCTGTGATCCATCATATCTGAAGAAGTTGAGATCAAGGTTAGTCTAAACCCACAACTCAAAACCCGCTTACCTTACACTTCAGGAAAAGACAGCTTGAATTCAACACAATTTACGACTAGGGAAAATAGTCTTAGATTTGACCCTCAGTAAGATTTCATTTAGGAGAGAATTAAACAAGATCAAAACCACATTCACTTGATAAAGTGCCTGTCGGATGTTCTTAAGGGAACTCCCTGCCCCAGTTCCGCAGAATTACTCCTTAGCTTCCAAAGCAGAATTAGTTGCACTTCTTGAAAGGCGCTGAAGTCTGGTGTAATAGTGTCAACCTCCTACAAAGCTGAAAAAGAAATTGATCATTTAAATCTAAACAAGACTCAGAAGGCTGCAAGGTGTTTCAGGTGGCTGGAATAAAATCAAGCATTTTGCAACCAGTGATCAAGTTCTTGGACTAAGCGCTGACAATGCATGAATGAAGAACAGCCACAAGACTTAACAAACATGATTAGTATTATCCAACTGCTTTGTTATAAATATATTATATACATTCGAACATCACATTAAAATATTATTCCATTACACCAGAAGAGATTAAGGCTTTATATTATTTACAGAAACAAGCAAGCACCTTAAAAAAAAGAACAAAACACCAGTCATTGACATTTCCCTTCTAACATTACAAGTTTGATACTTGAGCTCTTGAATACAGCTATTTGCAATGTGCCCAATGCTAGAACTATTTTAAACATTTATTGTCAGGGTAGGAAACATTTAATAGAAGACTCATCTGTGAGCACTCCACGTGAACAAACATGAGCATGTGTTGTACTGGGTGCCCTCCCTCTCCTCAGAGGCTTGTTAAGTGAAGGCTTATGTAGAAATGGTTTGCTCACTTCCACGTAGAGAGTAGAACAATTTTATTTTCAGGAAAACTGAAGACACTTGAGGATTCGTGGCCCACTGGTGGAGTGGGATTCTTGAAGTCTGTTCCACGTTACATCAACTAGATTTAACATGATAGTGAAGATAGAGCTGTAAGTTTCTCAATCACTAAGTGCATGATGATTTGATAGGCTTCCATTACTCTGACACACTGTTTTCATGCAGTGTATTTGGACTCAAACACAAAGTGACAAACTGTTGTCACCATTCCCTCTGAAGGTCTTAGGCAACAAGCTATTTTTGAAGTGTTAAATAATGTTGATACAACACATGTTTACTATGCCACCATGTACCAATGGAGTGACTGTCCTGCCTTCTGGCTTGCCCAACAGCCTTACGGGATACAGTGATGAAGTATTTTCTAAGATGTAAGCAGACATGGCTAAACGAAAAGGTGCTCAGTAAGAGTAATCATCTTCATTTCAAGTATTGTTTTAAGAATTAGTTCTTTTCATTACAGTCTGTGTTAGCACTTTTTAGTTTGTGCTTTAGAGTCTGTTATTTCTTTGCAGGTCTTGAATTTGGCTGATGGCTTTTTTTTTTTAAATAACATTGGCAACAAGTTAAGGATTGCGGAAGGCTGGCAAAAGTTATTTAATTTTCTGAGCCCATTTCATGTCATCTGCTCTTGGCTTCTCCCCAGTAACTCCTTGGATAATGTTCTCCAAACACCTCCAGAATCTTATCTTCTCTAATGGATAGTTCAGCCAACCTAAGTGATTGCAAAGGAAAAAAAAGGATTAGTTTGTCATAGTATCCAAAGTTCAATGTCTTGCAATGTTTATTTAATAACATTCTTTAAATTAAACACAAGGTAAATGTAAGGGGAGTTCAGAGGTGGACTACTCTATGGACATTGTAAAGCTATCAGAAAAGGGACCATCAAGTTGAATGATTTTTGTTAGAAGCAAGATATTTTTATTAGTAGCACCTTAGATTTGGTATTGAAATTTAAGCAATGAAGCAAAAACCCCAACCCAACAATTACAGCTATTTTTCCCTGATTAGCTTTCCCCATCACCAAAGCCAGCTCGGCTTTTTCGTGTTTCTCATCAAGTAGCACAGCAAACGTAAATACATACAACATGGCTCTGAAATCTCAAATACATTTTCAATGCCACGGTTTCTAGAAAAAAAAGAAATAATTAAAAAAAACCCCAAACAAATCAAGATTTCTGTTTGGGACCTAAACACCACTAAGGCTCAGCAAACTAAACAAAGTTTTTTCTTAAATAAAGCCTCAAGTTTAGATAGTTCCGACATCAATTTTCATTTTTAAGGAACTTAAATGTATTATGCTCTCCCTGGGCAAAATTACAGTTTGTGTAATCAATTGCTAATGAAGTTTGAGATGGGGAAATCTTATACTGCATTTAACAGGAGCTGACGTTGGACACTTCCCAGATTAAGAGGGCAGCAGCACCAGCAGCACACTCCCAAGGGTGTGCAACCCAGCAGGCAGCACTTCTGCTTCCAGTAACCAGAAAGGCACTGGTTGATCTGGGACAGGCCTTTACCGTTTTATGTAAAAACAGCAGTAAGTGCCATCACATCCTGCATGCAACAGGAGTTTAATGTGTCTTTCCTAGCCTGCAGATTTAGGGTATTTTGAATGCTTTGTAGAAATATTGCACTGTGCAGACCGTGAGGCTGGAACTCACATAGGCTTAAGAGGCCTCACCCTGCATTCAGAAGGGCTTTATGTCTCACTTTTAAGGTATTAATTAGTACATCAGCTTGATTTTCTCATACTGTATTTTGATGCCAAACTAACTACGTATCATGGACAGAAAAGTGCACAAAGAGGCAATATCACAGGGTCTTATTACAACGTATTACATAGTAACTTTAGGCCTCTGTTTTATTAAACATTGTAAAACTATGAAACCCAAAAGAAATCAGCACCAGGAAGTGTTATTTCCCTTTAGAAGTTTTCCTACAACCAGGAAGAGATGGATGTACACAGGGTTGTATTAGATATCCCACACCTACAGAACTGTTCTGTAAGCACACGTTAGACTTCATGTACATTTCTGGAAAAGGGAACAAAGCAGAAGAAAAAAAATCAAAGGAGAGGCACAAATGAAGAAGTTGTTACCACAATGGAAACAGTGAGCAACAGTGGTTGACGTTAGAGGAAGGAGCTAGAATGCAGCATAGCACCAGCAAGACTGGAACACAGGAGAGCTGCCGCAGAGCCAGCTCTGCCGGGTGCGAGTACCATCCCTACGGCCGTGACAGACAGCAGAAGGAAAGTGGCTGTTCTCACTGGTGAGGTCTTAGCCCATGCATACAGCTATTACAGGACAGAAATACTAAAGGGAAAGAACATTCAGGATATTTAGTGCTAAAAATATATTTCTAAAGAGCTAGATCATTCCTCAGACACAACTATAGCTTCAAGGATCTACTGAAAACAGGCACTGTTTTCAGCCACCTTCTGCAGTTGGACATGACCTTTCCTAGCTCACCTGCCATCCTTGCAGCTCCACTCCACTCACTGGATACTGATGCCCTTTAGGAAGTCAGCCCATGCAATTCTCATTAACACAGGCGTCACCCCTCAAGGAACGGACTGCTCCTTCCTGGTGTCTAAACATGGCAGTCAGTGCAAAAGCTTTAATACTGGGAATGCCAGAAAGCTCTGCTAGCTGGTACCTTCCATGGCAATGATACGGTGGTGGATCTTTATGTACACAGGCCAGCTCTGAAACCAAGTATACTCTTAGCGACTTAAGAGTGGGTAGCCAAGTCCAAAGAGGTGCACAACAATAACTAGTCCTACTTTACTCAGTAAAGGTCCCTTTTAAATAGCACATTGATTACGTATTTTTGTTGTCCTCCTCCTCCCTTCTACTCTAGAAAAAAAAGAATTAGGGCTGCAGAAATACTTTGCTCCACTGGAAAATCCAAGTATACAATCTAACATGCTGTGTTGTGTCAAACTAGAATGGTACAAACACCTACAGAACACACAGAGTGAACAGAAGCACATGCTTTTTTTTTTTTTTAAAATGAGAAAAAAAAAAATCACCTAGCCCAGAAGCGCTACTAATGGTCAGCTTTAAACTTTCAGGACACAGGAGTGAAAAAAAGGTCTTAGGGTGGCAAGATTTTTGCCACCATCTGTCAAGACAGGATTCTTAATTGTACCATTTTTACATGAAATTCTGGTCATGGGAACTAGAAATTTCAAAACCGACAAACTGGTTGTCAAAACCAACAAGAGAATAAAGAACCAGAGTGATTTATTTCCAGCTGTCTGATTAACTTGATAACTTATTCAGGATTCTGCAACACTGGTGAGTGAGTATACCCACCTGTACAGCGGGCATGAAATTGCATACAGATATAAGAGAGACCTAAAGCCAGTTTTCTGCAAGCCTGTTCACTCCTCTGTCCCAAATCAGAGTGAATAAATGCTGAAAATCCAGACGCCTTGCTTTATAAATGAGCATTCAAGTTAAGTCACACTTACAGATGATATGTTCTTTTGAAGGAAGAGCAGCTTTAAGATTTTAATGAACAAAATCCATTACTAGCACGAGATTACCAAGTTACAATGCAATCAGATCTCAGTACCCCTGACTACCCCGTCGGGCTGAAAGTTACCTGTTAGTCAAACGTGAATCTTCCCCCACGTTTTTTATGCAACAAAACCAACTATCATTTTGCTAAGAGCTTGTGCAGCTAATAGCATAGTTAACTTCACCATGTCATTTTCTAGGTATTTAATCTTGCCAGGTAAATTGAGCTATACTACTAAACAGAGCTTGCAGCATGAACCAGATGGCAGTACCAGTTGTAATGCAGAAGTATGTCTCATGTGGAGACACATGATGGATCCTGTGATGCTTCCGTGGCAGGATAACATGCCAGTCCTGTAGAAATATGACCCAGCGTGGAAGACCAAAGTACGTGTGAGACCACTTGTGAATCTGGTTCGTCATGGTTATGAAGATGATAAGGGCAAAGACATAACACTCCCAAGGACATGTTTCATATAACGCCTCTGCAAAATAAGATGCGCATCTTTAAATACCATTTGTGAAAAGGTAAATTTCTACTAGGAAAATGATGTTTTGCATAGACAGAGCAGCCTGGTGCTGCAGGAACTAAAAAAGGCCTCAACAAAGCTGCTTTGGCAGAAGTGTCATGAGCACCAATGAGCCATAAGCAATTCCAGAATGCCACAAGACAAGCTGGTAAGTGCCAGCATCTGTCAACTCGACATAAACAGGCAGTTACACTCTGAATTTACCATCTAGAAAATAAAATTAATCCTTTAGTTCTTACAGTTCTAGTTTGCAAATAAAGTATTTCAACACGGAGGAGAAGGATTTTTATACACTTTAGAACAATGAGTTTCCCTATATGCACAGTTTGATCCCTTTTATAAAAAGAATATATACTGTAACTCCTAATGCTTTCTTGCAAGATTTTTCAGCCACAGGTTCTCTGCTGAGCTAGAGAATCTAGCTGTCCCACCTCTAGGTGCCCCACCTTCAAGAAAAAAAACAGCTTCTCTCCCTTCTCCCAGGAGCATCATGCTTCCAACAGCTATTACTTGTCATCTTGCATTCATTGATTTCTCCCCTAGCTTCACACAGACACGTGTTAATTTAAATATCAACAAAAATGCTAAATGCACATAAGTCAGAAGTAACAGCTTACCTGGGGAAAAAGAAATAAATTTGTATGCCATGTTTGCCAACGGGACTAGTGTCATAAAGCAGTTGTCTCCATTGGTCTCTATAAAATCATGTCTGGTAATTGCTGTGGGGTCAATATGATGTTCTCTAAAAGGTCTGATGAAAGCCTGCAAAAACAAGTTGATAAACATGACACCATGGCTCAATAACGATCTTGGAAAGAAAAAATATTTAAAAAATCCCCAAGCCTTACATGCATTCAAATCTGATGACTGAGTTTGAGAGAGTCCCATAGTACAAAGCATGTAAGCAGGATTCAAACTTTTGTGGTGACACTTCAGATAATTTGATTTACATTTGCAGAGCAATTCAGTTCCCAGACTTAAATCCAGTTTTTGATTGCTTTTCAGTTTTATTCTTAATTTTCACTTAGGATCTTTAATCTCTAGGTTTCGAAACCAAAGCATCAGCATCCTAATTTCACAAACAAAATAAGCCTGTGAAATTCACAAGTATAAGTCACTTACTAAGCAGCATACACTAAGAAAACACTAAAAAAAAAAAAGAAAATTCAGCCTAACATTTTGTATGGGCAACAGGTGACAGCATTGACAGACTAAATGCAAGTTAAATGACTAAATAAGCAATGTAAGTCAAGTAGACTATCCAAAAGTCTCCTCTAGGAGTAGAAATTGCATCTGAATACACAATCCCAGAGGAGACAAAGCAAATGTGGGACTGGGAGAGTAAAATAAGTATACTTATCTGCCTTTAACACATACATGATGTATAGTCTACACAAAGGTGTCCTGATCTCTTGTTTATTTAGTGCACAGTTTCCTGCAGTGCTTTTTTTTTTATTTTTGAACTATAGTCCACGGATATAGGGATTCAAGGACCACAAAGTCTATTGAAGGTGAACAAGAATAAGCCTAAACCAAACAGTCTTAATTCTGCTGTTCTAGTTCATATATTTCTGGATAATTACAAGGAATACCCCATACTTTTTTTTTTTTTTTAGAGACCCTTCTAATATTGCGCTGTGAGGCATAATTAATGGTAACTGTAAATAAGTTTGTTTTAAAATAAACAGATTATTGCTTATTATAGAAGACAGTGCACCTTCCACTAAGCATCTGGCATTTGCAGCTGCAGATGTGTAATATCTCCAATCTCAATCTTCAGGTATCACCATTCTAACGCCACTACATTTACAACAGGGGTCAGGTAGCACAGAACTAGGAAGATTTCTTACTAGAGCGACTTCATGTTTTACAAGAGCTTTTAAAGAGTTTAACTATAGGAACAATTCTCCACATCTCTGTGTTTATTGGCCTTTTGGAAGTTCTACAGAACTCTAGCCAGGTTTTTATGCTTGTGCTGTCACAGGCTGTTCCCACAGTACCTTGGGAAGGTCTGTGAACACTGGTATTGCAAAACTGTGCAAACCTTAAACAAACAGAAGTGTCACCTGGCACATGTCACTAGACCAAGCGTAAACATGGCACTTTACCACCAATATCCTGTGCCATTTAGTGGAGGAAGGCTCTGGGGGTGGGGGAGCTGGTTACATTGGCAAGACCGCAAGAAAGGTACAGCTTCTATACACTGTGAACACAGCTGGGAACACTGGTATTGTTTCAGAAAGTATTTAATAACTTTTTCAAGCTTAAAGATAAGAATCTCAAACCTTTCCAACTATGGGTAGCTCCACAGATCCCCAGGTATCTGCTCCCCAGTGAAATAATCCTGAGAGAAAGTCAGCCGTAATAACTCCTGCAACTTGAATAGAGAGAGACAGTTAGATATACACACGCATTTTTACTGACATATTCACACTTTATACCTGTTTTGTATGTTTATTTGTTTATTTACCTCTACCTTAGATGAGATCTACTCAATCTGAATAAACATAAGGTCAAGCAACTAGAAGCAAGAGGTTAACAAGACTATTTGGATGGTTACAATCTTCATTAAATCTATATATTTTGTGTTTAACCCATCTTCTACAGAAGAGCTTGACAAATCTTTACAATCGCGAGTATGGAAAATATTAGTAAGTTAGAACTGAGTCACTGAGAGCTCCCTACCTTCTTCTTCAGTAGTGTTTAACTGATTACATGGCTATAAGGTAGGTGTTAAAGCAATCTCAACAGTTCATACTATCTGCACACCCTTCTTCTTCTCCCTTGGTCCCTTCATGTCTGTAACAAGCAGCACTGAACTCCAGCCACTACAGATGAGCACCCATCAAGAAGCCACTCCTGTGTGCAGCAATACTATTTACGAAATAAGACCGGAACATGGGACAACTTCAAGACTGTGGCATGTGCAAAGCTAAGGCAAGGCCCCAGAAGCCACGCTAACGATGCTCTGTAAGGGACATCGTACGCTTGCAATATTTGCATGTTAATTTAAACACATGGAGGTTGCTGCAACAGTGTAAAGATTTTTCTAGATGCCAACCACAGTAACTTTAAAACTGCAGTCAAGTACAGGTGATTTTCAGTTCTTGCACTTTTTTCAGTTGTTGCACAAAGACCTATTTTTGCCTTCACATCCTGGATAATCTATCTATCCAAGTTTCTAGCTAATCCTGACACTTAGAAGTAAGGATGCAAGAGATGTTTTTTTGATCAGAACAGCTGTACATTTTCCAGTTAGTCACAGACCTCTCAGACGGTGTTCAACAGACACCTATTACGCTTCACCTGCAGAAGTCATCCTACTCCCAGGTTCCCAACCCCTTTAGCAATGATGTCTCCAATATAATTTGAGACGCCCTCCTGCATGACCTCTACTTTTAAGCTTTTGAGGAATAAAATTCAGAGAATACTGCAGAAGAAGTTCCCTTGTTTTCAAAGGGGAAGCTGAGGGAATACAGCATACAGCATTGCAATAGGGTAAAGCAACACAGCAAAGAGGGAGACATTGCCTTAGGACCTTTATGCTTGAGGGACTTAAGACAGTCAGATTTTGCCCTTTAAAGAACAGAGACATGAAGAGGTACCAGTTCTAGCCTGCACATCTTGCTCTGAGAGAGATTAACCAGGTCTGGATAGAGTCCAGGTTTGCTGAAGAATGAACCAGACTGAGAACTGAGATCCTTCTTCACTGCAGTGCCATCCCTTCAGGTTAATACAAATATCAGAAAGATCCTTCTGTTCAGTGATTCTGAGACCGACCACCGGTGAATGAGTACACATGCATACTTGGTGATTCTCTGTGGAGCCAAAGTTCAAGCTCTGAAAGGGGAAGGCAGCATTCACTACTTACCTGCAGGTCTGGTTAAAAGAATTCAGCAGAAGCACGACCCAGATTTCAAAATAGCTACTGCACACTGGGCAAATACAATATACCTGGGAACTGATAGTGCCTGATCTCAGTGCAAATCCCTCAAAATAATATACAAAGTTCATGTCAATTAAAGTGCTATATACTGATCTTGCAGTCTATTGTTAATGAGTCACAGCAACAGAAATACCAAGATTATGTGCTCGAAATGTTATGTTCCCAAGCAGCTCAGGTAGCAATTCCCTACTCTTGTCTGGTGCTCAGAGTACAAGGCACAGTCACTCACTATTGGCACATCTGGCAGTTCCCGGAGAAGGCTATGAGTCCATGTAAACCAGAGAAGTAGTCACAGGGCCAGGTCAGAGTAGCTGGAACATAGCTTTTTAGTTTTCCCTACTGATATTTACAAAAATTGGGTCATTTACAGAAGTCTTTGCACCAGAAACAGCAGGGAGTTGCAAAACCAGAGGTGATGCAGGAAATCTATTTTTTTTGCTCTGCCTGGCTCACCAACTCTTCTTCAGATGTCTGTGAAGCTAGGAGAACTCCTGGCTTCCTCCTCCACTAGTCAGCATTTGTTTATCTATGTGTCTGAAGATCTTCAAGCACAGCTTCTCATTTATAGTATTTGAGGGGTTTTTGTGATGGGCAGGTACCCCTCTGCCTGCTAAGATATTAGGCAAGACAATTCCAACTCACTTGTAATCCAAAACAAAAGTTAAAATTGTTGGTGTGCTGGTTCATCTTGCTTTGACTCCAAGGAATCTTGCTACTCTTTCCTCTCTCACAAAAACTCAAAGCAATCTGAGACATGCCAGGAAACACGACATCTTTCTCCATTAATCACACAACTTTTATTTACCCTGGTCATGATCTGGACTTCACCTGATTTTCCTACTCCAATCAGGACGCTTAGGTCCACTACCTTGAGAGTTCACTTTAATGAAGTTCTTGTAACATTAGCAGAATTGCTAAAGAGCAAGTATTTTATAGAACATGAAAGAGGACTGGGTTGTTCTGTTACTATTGATCAAATGCTCTTCATCTTCAGGAGACAGCAGGTGCCTACAGTGCATGCAGCACAGCATATTTCAGATACACTCTTCCTTGTGGTTACCTTTTCCTTAGCTGATCCCTCACCTCTACAGGCCTTCCCCATGTCTTTCATTTTCAAAACAGGAATAAAAAATAAAATCAGTGTGGCACCTACTACTTAAAATGCCTTCTTTTCATAGAATCATAGAATGGTTAGGGTTGGAAGGGGCCTCAAAGATCATCTAGTTCCAACTCCCCTGCCATGGGCAGGGAAACCCTCCACTACACCAGGCTGCCCAAAGCCTCATCCAACCTGGCCTTGAACACTTCCAAGGATGGGGCATCCTCAGCTTCTCTGGGCAACCTGTTCCAGTGCCTCACCACCCTCTGAGTGAAAAATTTCTTCCTTATATCTAATCTAAATCTGCCCTCTTTCAATTTAAAGCCATTAAATTTAAAGCCATTCATGTTATAAATCAATCCCCACTGCTGAAACTATTATCCAGTTGGCCTAAACTCTTAAATAAAATAGCAGGAGACACTTCATGCTTTATGTATCACCTATTGTGCTGAAGACAGCTTATTTCTTTAAGTAGTAAATTCTGTACGTTTATTTTTCTTTCAGACCACACACACAAGCTACAGTGAGACAAGGTGGAGCACAATAGCTTTTGGATCTGCACCCAGCAGCTGAAAGAGCAAACAGCCTCCATTCAGGGAGAAGATATCCAAACAACACTTCACTTTGCAACAACTAAAATACCATTCTTGCTGAGGTAATCACACTATTAACCCACATCGCCTCCAGCGCACTGCATTGTAAGACCTTGAAATGACTGCAGGAAGCACAACAAAGATGGAGGCAAAATACTGTCAGTTCAATAGATATTTTGCTGTTACTTTGATGTCAGCTGGTAGAAAGCTAAGAGGAAAGAATGAAGGGTGCCTGAAGCAGTGCATTATACTAAGGCAATCTGAAAAAAACCTAACTACCAAGAATTGCATTTCAGTTGTATTGCAGAATGCAGAAGGGCTTGTTCACTCTTCAGCATGACGAGTTGCAATAAAAGAGCAAAAACTGTACCAAAGGTTATGCTTGATTGGCATCGTAACACTTTGTTTGCATCCTGACTCAGAAGGCACATAAGACAGCGATGAATTGAACTCAATGTTCTCATATACATAGTGCTAGTAAAGTTAGTTAAAACAGGAAAACCAAGGCACAGGTGTTCAGCTACTTCTCTAAGGTGGTACAGCATCCTGATGATCAAGGTTGGGAGGGCAAGATAAGACTGACAGCCCTGAACATGAATTGAGAGTTCATCATGAAGTCAGAAAAAGCAGGATATCCACAGTGTAGGTATATATGAACTGAAACAGTGGATTCACACACTCATTAGAAGCAAGATCAGTAAAACATTGGAGAAATTCTGCTCTGCATGTATTAGCTTTACTCCAGCCTGCTGAGCAGTGGGACGGAGTGTCAGCCCATCTGTGGCTTACAACTGAAGAGGAGGCGAGTACTCAGAGAGGAGGAGGGGAAAAAGGCATTGCAGTTAAGAAGTGAGCTGCAGAACTTGCTCAAAACACCAGGATTTCTTTGTTTTGGAAGTAGACTGCTGAATCAGGAGAAGAGAAAAAGGCCTAGCACACAGGGAGACCAAAGGTGTACAAATGAACTTCAATCAGTAGCAATAGCATGGCTGTTCTTGTCCAGCCACCTGGTGCTTGCCATTCTTTGCGCAGGCATGCCACAGGCACTGCGGCACCCTCGGGCACCACGGAGGAAGCAAGTGCCTCTCCGCTGAGTCAGGGGACACGCCGGAGCACGACGCTGGCACCCCGACAGCCGAGACACCGCCCGGGTGGTGGGTCGCGAGGCCGGAAGCACGACTGGCCCAAATATATCGACACAAGACGGTTCTGCTCCCACTTGTGTTCTGTTCAGAAACCAGGTAAGACGTAAGGGTTTGTGTCACAGAAAACCCCCACTCCTCCTCCTCCTCTTTGCTCGAGCACCAAACTGAGAGGTTACAACTGGCAACCTTATTAAGGGCTTCTCTTGTGAGCGAGTCACACACCGCTTCCTGCAACCCGGCTGCTCCCAGGCGTGAGCGGAAGGAAGTCAAACGAGAGCAGGACATTCAAGGCATGAGGTGTTCAAGAGATAAAACTATTTTGCATGTTTGTGGCAAAAAGTTGGACTTCACGGAAATTTTACAGAGCCAAGTGTAAGCCTGGCTTTGCCTAGATAGAATTCACAAATTAAAACCCAGAAGCCTAACAGTAGAGTATATAAAGTTTCACATTCACTGTAAAATGTGTTAGAGTCTCTGGAGAGGAAAAAACAGCATAAGATGTTATTAAACAACTCAGTGTTATTGTGTAACATCATTCAGAAGTGCAGACATTTTTAACCAGTGACTGCACGAACTAGTTGCAGATCACAGCAC